GGGGGCTGGGAAGGGATTCTGGTCTCCCAGCTAGGCTGCAGCTCAGTGGCAGAGTGCCTGCTCAGCATGTGTGAGGCCTTGGGTTCCATCGTTAGCACACACACACACACACACACACACACACACACGTACATCTCCCTGGCCTCCTGTCTCACCACACTGTCCCTTCTGTGTGCTCCCAGCCCTGTTTCTCTGTGGCCATGCACCCTGCAGCCACCAGCACCATGGACCCAGTCATCCTCTCTTGTTCATAAATGCCACTATCTCACAGCAATGCAAAGTGGCCCAATAGCAGCCACTTCCTGGGGATGTCATGGCTGAGGTTTTTTCCAGAAGCACATGGACCCTAGACACATAAGAACAATTATCACTAGTTCTTGTTTTAATTCATAGTTTTTTAAAGCTAGCAAGGTGGCCCATGCCTATAATTTCAGCCACTGAAGAGGCTGAGGCAGGAGGATCACAAGTTCAAGGCCAGCCTGGGCAACAAGTGAGACTCCGCCTCAAAATAAAGAGCAAAAGGACTGGTGATGTTGCTCAGTGGTTTAGCAGCCCTTGCTTTGATGTTTTGATTCCCAGTACAAAAAAATGCTTTTCACATATCAGTGAAGATATAAAAGGAGAAGAGAGTAAAATAAAAGCAGAGGAGAGCTTTTCTAATTTATCTAGACATGATATCTTCATGTCTAATCAATTTTTATATATAATTATATGCAATAAAATTCACACATTTTAAGTGGAAAGTTTGATGGATTTGTCAGCACAGACTGTTATGTACTCACTGTGAGAATCTGGATGCAGAACATTTTGGTCACCTCGAAATGCTTCTGTGAGCCCTGTCCCATCCCAAGCCGGTGGCAACCCCTGATCTGCTTTGTCACCAGCCTTTTCCGGAATTTCACATGGAATCCTATGGGAGAGGTCTTTTGCTTCTGGCTTTTGTCACTTAATGCTTCAGAGATTTATCTATGTTGTCATGTGTCAGTAGTTTATTCACTTCTGTTGCCTTGTCATAGCACTCAATTGTATAGGTAGAATTCAATTTATTCATGCATTCTTTTTTGTTTTTATTTATTTGTTTTGTTTTAGAGACTGGGTCTCACTCTGTAGCTCAGGCTGGCCTTGAACTCACTATGTAGCTGAGGCTGGCCTTGGAACTTGTGGCAAACCTCCTGCCTCAGCCTCCTGAGTGCTGGGATTACATGTGTGTGCCACCACACATGGCTAATTAAATTAACTTTATCATGTGAAAATATCTAACATTAACTTTGTCATTTTAGCCATTGTATTTCTTTTTATTATTATTTTTTGGACAGGGTCTCACTATATAGTTCAGGCTGGCCTCAAACTCACTGCAATCCTTCTGTCACAGCCTCCTCCTCCTGAATGCTGGGATTATAGGTGTGCACCACCATGTCCAGCTATCAGTTTAGCCACTTCAAAGTGTACAATTCTGTGGTTGTTTATCACCTTTGCAAGGTTGTGCAGCCATCACCATTATCTATTTCTCTAACCCAAACAGAAACTCTGTAACACTAAATAAGCGCTCACCATTTCTTCTCCTATTCCCTCTTCTCTATAGTCTGCCTCTATAAATGTGGCTATTCTGTATAGGTCATATATGTGGAGTATTCAGTGCTGTATTTTAGTGTCTGGCTTATTTCACTTTTTCTTTCTTTCTTTCCTTTCTTTCTTCCTTCCTTCCTTTCTTTCATTCTTTCTTTCTTCCTTTCTTCCTTTCTTTTCACAGATCTCACTAAGTAGTTTAGGCTGGCCTCGAACTCCTGGCAATCCTCCTGCCTCGGCCACTCAAGTGCTGGGATCACAGGTGTGCGCCACCCTACCCAGCATTTAGCATGTTTTCAAGTTTCATACATATTGAAGCATGGATCAGAGCTTTTTTTTCATTGCTGAATACTATTCCTCTGTATGTGCACATTTTATCCATTCATCTCTTGAGGGACACATGGGTTTTTGCATATTTCTAACTTTTAGTTATTATGAATAAAGCTACTACAGACATTCAAGTACTGGTATTTGTATAGACACATATTTTCATTTCTCTTGAATAAACATGTGGGAGTAGAATTATTGGCTTGTTTGATAAATGAATGTTTAACTTCATAAGAAACTGCCAAGCTGTTTTCCAAAATGGCTGTTATCATTTGTGCTGTTACCATTTGCATTTTCACCAGCAAAGCATGAGAATTCAGCTGCCCTATATCCTCACCAACACTTGTACAGTCCAACTTTTTAAATTCTAACAATTCTAGTGGATGTATAGGTCCCCTCCCCACCCCTCTGTATTTTTATTTATTTATTTATTTATTTATTTATTTATTTATTTGGTTCTGGGGATGGAACTCAGGTCCTTGCGCTTGTGCAGCCCATGGCGAAACCACTGAGCTAAGTCCCCGGCTCCCCTATATTTTTTTAGACAGGGTCTCACTATGTAGTTCAGGCTGATCTTGAACTTACTATGTAGCCCAGGCTGGCTTTAAACTTGTGGGGATCTTCCTGCCTCAGCCTCCTATGCTGGGATTACAGATGTGTGCCACTATACTAGGCTCTCTTTCTCTATTTTAAGGTGGGTCTCACTATGTTGCCCAGACAGGTTTTGAACTCCTGGGCTCTACTGATTTTCCTGCCTCTGCCACCTAAGTAGCTGGACTACAGGGTGCAGATTACCCCACCCAGCATTTTTTATTGTTGTTTTAATTGCATTTCTTTATGTTAATGTTAATTACATGTTGTTAATGTAGATGTTAAATATCTTTCCACGTTCTCAGTTATCATCTGTATATCTTCTGTGAGATGAAATAAGGTGTCTGTTAAAATATTTTCCACATTTTAAATTATTTTAAATTCAATTCTTTTTCCTGTATTTTTTTCAATCGCGGTGTCTGGTGGTGCTGGAGAGGGAACCTAGGGCCTCAATGTTCGGGGCAAGCCCTCTGCTTCTGAGCTGGACTCCTGACCCTTATCACCGTGTTTTAAGAGTTCTTTGTATCACTGAGATAGAGGCTCTTGTCAGATGTGCCCATATTGAAATACACACCACAGAATATGTACTGTGAACATTTCTCCTCATCTTTGTTTACCTTTTCATTTTCTTTAAAATATCTTTTTTTTTTTTGGTACCAGGGATCAAACTCTGGTCCTTGTGCTTGCACAGCAGGCAGCGAAACCGCAGAGCTAAATCCCCTGCCCTTAAAAGTATCTTTTGAAGTGCACATTTTACATTTGTCTTTCCTTCTCCTCTTCCTCTTTCTTTTCCCCTTCTCCTCCTCCTTTTTTTCTTTTCCTGGTGATTGAACTCAGGACCTTCACACTTAGCTCCATCTCCAGTCCTTTTCTTTCTTTTTTTGGGGGGGGTACCGGGGATCAAACTGAGGACCTTGCACTCGTGAGGCAGGCACGGTGCCATTGAGCTAAATCCCCTTTTCAACTTTTTATTTTGAGACAAGCAGGATCTTGCTAAATTGCCCAAGTTGCTGGGCTCAATCTGGCAATCCTCCTGCTTCAGCCTCCCAGAGTGCTGGGATTACAGGTGGTGGCCACCATGCCCTCGCGATATGTCATTTTTTATGGGCTGTTTTTTTGTTCTGAGAAAACTTTGTCTAGCCCAGTGTTTTTTTCTTATAGAATTATCTGTTAAACTTATATCCAGGAGCCATTCTAAGTTAATTTCTGAACATAATATGATTACATTAGTCAAGGTCAATTTATAACCTTTGTATATGTCTTGTTCTAGCACCATTTGTTGAAGGGACCATCAGTACCCCACTGAATTATCAGCCTTTAAGAAAATCAAGTGTCCTGTGTGTGTAGATCTATTTGGGAACCCTCTGGTCTGTTCCAGAAATCTTATGTCTTTCTTTAGACTATGATATCACTGTTTTAATTCTGTAGCTTTATAAAAAGTCTTGAAATAAATCTTGAAATCTTGGAGATGTAAATTCTCCAAATTTGGCCTTCTTTTTCAAAATTGTTTTGGCTAACATAGATCTTTTGCATTTCCATGTAAATTGAGATTCAGCTGTCAGTTTCTGTAAAAACTTTGGTAGACTGAGATTGTTTTATTCTCTACATCAGTTTAGGGAAAATTGACGTTAGTGAGACTGACTCTTCTGACTCACAAACATAGTGTATCCTTCCATTTATTTAGGTCGTCCTTACTTTCCTGGGCAATACTTTATAATTCTTGCTCATATTTTGTTAAATTTATCCATATATATGCTTATTTTCCCCACTGCTGAAGATTGAATCTAGGGTCTTCACACTGAGCTACACTCCAAGACCTTTTTACTGTTTTTATTTTATTTTATTTTTTTGGTACCGGGGATCGAACTCCGGTCCTTGTGCTTGCGCAGCAGGTGGCGAAACCACTGAGCTAAATCCCTGGCCCTTTACTGTTTTTATGTTGAAACTGGGTCTCACTAAGTTGCCCAGGCTGGTCTCCTCCTGCCTCAGCTTCCAGAATAGCTGGAATTATAGGTGTTTGCTGTTGGACACTGATGGAACTTTTTGCTAGCTTGCTGGGGATTTTCTACATAAATGGTGTGAACTGGAATGATGGGAATGTGATTTCTTCCTTTCCCATCTGGTTGGCATTTTCTTCTTTTATTTTTCCTATTGCCCTGGATGAACCTCCTACACAATTTTGGGTAGAAATGCTCAGAATGGGTATTGTGATGACACCTTTAAAAATGTGTTGTTTTTTTTTTAGCAAATAGAAATAATCCCTGGTTGTAACAGAGGCAGAAGTAAACTGTGATGAGGAGTGGAATGCGCGTGTGAGTAGGGTTGGCAGAAAATGGAGCCATTAAATCCTATTCATTGGGGAAGATTTATGTATTTTGAGACAGGGGCTCCCTACATAGTTCAGACTGGCCTTGAACTCACTAGGTAGCCCAGGCTGGCCTGAACATCTGGTGATCTCCCTGCCTTGGCCTCCCGAAAGCTGAGATTACGGGTGTGCACCACCTCACCCAGCTGCTATTAGGGAGGACTGATAAAGGACAGTGTCCCTCAGGTCTCCTCATAGGACCCCAGGAGTGACAGTGTCTGTTTCCCCCTCATCACACTCTCCAGGCTGCTCCTGTGCCGCCCCTCGATGCAGGATGCTGTTCTCTCCCTGCCTGCTGGGCTGCTCCAGGACCTGCTCCCGAGTGCTGGGGCTGAGCCTGGGGACTGCAGCTCTGTTTGCCGCCGGTGCCAACACAGTGCTCCTCTTCCCGAACTGGGACGTCAGCTACCTGCTTCGGGGCCTCATAGGCCGGCATGCCTTGCTGGGTTCCGGGCTCTGGGCAGGGGGCCTCATGGTGAGATCAGGCTCAGGGTGGAGTTGGGGGGTGTGGGAGGAGCAGCGCTTCAATGGTTGCAATCCTTGGGTCTTGGGTCTTGAATGCCCACTCCCAGGGTTTGGGAACCAGGCAGGCTGGGGTGAACCTGACACCCACAGCTCGGGTCACACTGGTCTCTTGAGAAGCCCTGGTCCAATAAGACAGAGCCAGGCATAGTGGTGCACACCTGTAATCCCAGCACTTGAGAGGCTGGGGCAGGAAGATCTCTGTGGGCTGGAGGTCAGTGTGGACTACATAGTCAGTTCAAGGCCAACCTGAACTACATAGTAAGACCCTGTCTCCAAAAACAATACCAAAAACAACAAAAGAGGCCAATAAAACAAATTCTTGTGAGGTGGCCAACCACTATTCCAATAGCCATGGGCAGCAGTGGACACAGGCAGAATTGGAAATGACCCAGTCTCTCCCTGACATTCTGTAGGTGCTCGTGGCTGCCACCCTTATCTCTATGATGGGCTGGAGAGGCTGCTGCTTCAGGAAGAGCGCACCGTGTTGCAGCGTAAGGCACAGTCCACCAGCTCCTTGTTGGCTTCTTCTAGATGCACAGAGGTCAAGGCCAGTTACAGTTCTGAGGCTCAAAGTCAAGTCCAAACTGTGGCTCTGAATGCCACCAAGCTCTGGGGCGAGCTGCCCACTTTCCAGTCCCCGTCCTCATCTGCCACATGGGGGTGGCTGCCAAGAGGGAGGAAGGGCGCAAGGGCCTCTGGGGTCATAGAAATGGGAGAGGCAGTTGTCTTCCTTAGTTCATTAGACAATACAGACAGGAGTTCTGGACATGGTAATCAGGGTCATTGTAGAAAGGTTCCTGGCTATTTTAATCAGTATTTTCTTAGAGGAGTGGGGCTGTGGCTCAGAGGTAGAGCACCTGCCCAGCATGCCCAAGGTCCTTATAGTGAGAGATAATGTGTAGAGATGTATATATGTATATATATGCACGTATCTATACATTATTTTCTGTTGTTTGCTTTTTTGGGGGTTGGATAGAGTTGGACTATGTAGCCAGGCTGGCCTTAGATTCACTGAGATCCTCCTGTTTCAGCCTCCTGGGTGCTGGGATTACAGATGTGCACCACCCTGCCAAGCAATCCTGAATATTTTAACTTGGGGTCAAAACTTACTAAGTGCCTTTCTTTGACCCCTAGCTTGACACCAATGGGAAAATTACTGTGAAGAAAAACTCTGTAGGTCTTTTTTTTTTTTGTACCGGGGATTGAACTCAGGACCTTGTGCTTGCAAGGCAGGTGATGGAACCACTGAGCTAAATCCCTGGCCCAACTCTGTAGGTCTTATTCACATATTAAAGATAGGCATTCTTTGGGAGGGAGGTAGAGACGCACAGTTGGGGACCAGAGGGAGCCTCCCTGGGAAGCCACAGGGTGGAATGGGGGGGCTGCTTCTGGCCTTGCCTGCAAGCTTGCTCTTGCTTGCTGTCTCCCTCCTTCCCTTCCTTCCTCTTTAGTTTGATTTGAGAAAGAGGCTGGCCAGCCTGTCCTTAGAGGAGTCAGAGTTGGGCATGGGAAGCCAATCTGCCCTTCCTTCCCCAAACCTAAGCGATGCAGTCTGGGTGCAAAGGTGTCTGGTGCCAACCTGCTAAGGCCCTGAAGAATCTGCTGAGTCAGGGAGATGCAGGCCCAAGTGCCTTCGTTTCTTTCTTGGGCCTGTTTCCTTCCCTCAGCCCTTCTCAGCTCTACCTGGGACCCCCATCAGCCACCCCACTTGAGTCACGCTGTAAAGGAAGTGCTAGAAAGCAAAGTGTCCCCTATGAGGGAGGGGACAGCCTGAGCACAGGGGAGTTGGATGCGGAGGCCACACCCGGGCAGCTGTTTCCTGTTCCCCTCCCTCTGCAGATCCTCACTGCTCTCCTTGCCGCCGGCTTGGCTTTGGTCGGAGCCCTGATATGTTTCGTCACTTCTGGAGTGGCCCTGAGAGATGGTCCACTGTGCATGTTCAATATCTTGTCCTACAATCAGACACAGGCATGGAAATACGGCTACCCATTCAAAGACCTGCGGCACACGTACGAGCTGGGGACATGGATTTGTGGTCTTTTCAGAGGCACAAGGAGACAGGCAGATAGATGCTCCTGCCTCAACCTCCCAAGTGCTGGGATTACTGCCACACCTGGCTCTGGGCCTTCTCTTGGGGTTGCTTGTGTGGCTTTCCTTGCTTACTCCCTAACCTGGCCTGATTTTTGGGACAGGAATTATCTGTATGACCGGTCGCTCTGGAGCTCTGTCTGCCTAGAGCCCTCCATGGCTGTCGTCTGGCACGTATCCTTCTTCTCAGTTCTCCTGTGCATCAGCACCCTCCAGCTTCTCCTGGTGGCCGTCCATTTCATCAACAGCTTCCTTGGCCTCTTCTGCAGCCTCTGTGAGGAATGATAGGTAACACCCCTAGGTGCCTGGGGATTCCTTCAGGCTGCCTGGAAGCCTTTCATACAGTGGTGGTTATGAAAGACAAAAGAGTATCCCTTCGCAATATTATTACAGCCGTGATACCAATAACATAACTCTTGCATGTAGGCTGTATGACGTACTTAAAGTCACACAATAAGCCAGGCATGGTGGCAAGCACCTGTAATCCCACCACTCGGGAGGCTGAGGCAGGAGGACCATCCAGGTCAGTCTGGGCTACACAGTGAGACCCTATCTCAACACCCCCCCCCCAAACAAAAACAATCCTCAAAAAAATCCCAAAACCAAACCAAAACAAACAAAAAGCACACAGCTAGGTTAAGGGACAGTCAGCACCTGACCCCCTATCTTCTCCATTCAAGTTCACCAACTGCTCTGGACTTGTATTGTGTGTCCCCCAAATCCATAGGCTGATGCCCTTACCCCAGCGTGTCTAGGACAACGCCTTTAATGTGATCATCAGCTGGACCTCATCTTTCATCCCTGAGGCTGTGGCCTTGCAGGGCTGCCAGGACGGGGACAGGGTACAGAGGACAGCAGGAAGGAATCCCCCAGTCCAGACACCACCTCCTATCTCCCGTACAGGATCAAGGAGCCCCGCAGTTCCCAGCTGGCTGATTTCATCTCAGGGTCACGGTAGGATGGGCCTGACCTGTAGAAACTTCTGTAGGGGACAGGGACCAACACTGCCACACAATTAATGGAGAACTGAAAGATTATTTAGGCCCTGAGGGTGTGGCTCAGTGATAAGAGGACATGCTTAGCATGTGCAAGGCCTGGGCTTGTATGCCCAGCATCACACACACACACACACACACACACACACACACACACACACACACGCTTGTGTGTGTGCCTGTGCAAATTTACATCTGCTTTTTTTGTTTTCTTTTTTCGACAGGGTCTCACTATGTAGCCCAGGCTGGCCTTGAACTCACAGCGATCCTCCTGCCTCAGCCTCTCAAGTGCTGATTAAAAGTGCGTGCCACCATGCCCAGTCACATGTACTTTTGGACGAGTGGGGCACGCGCACACGGATGCACGTGTACTCACACCCACCCTGGAACAGCCCTCCTTTTCTGGCTGAGCAAGCCTGGAGGTGAGAGAGGTCAGTCCTTGAATCGAGCCAGTTCCCAGTGGACAGCTGACTCCTCCTCACCTCCGTGCCTCAGGTACTCTGGGCTGTTACTCTAGGCCCCTGGAGCGCTTCCAGGGACAGCGCCTGCTCCCTAGGTCTCAGCCGGCGACCCAGCCTCCTGTCCCACTGCGCACGCCTAGGGTGGCTCCTCCCCTCACAGGGGCACCGCCCGGGCGGTGCATGTGGTAGGAGATGGGGCTTCCAGCCTTGAGGTCCAAGTGCAGCCCCTTGGTGACAAGGCCCTACATTCTCCATAATTCTATTTTGGGCCCTGATTTGCGGGGAAAGGGGAGAGGGAAAAGGGCCTTGGAGAAGGAAGGAGGAGAGTTCTGCAGATAGGCTGGTGTGGCTCTATTCAGCAGGATGGGGTCAGGTAAATCTTTTCTTTAGAAGAAAAGCCGTCTGGGGTTGCTCTCGTGACCACCGCTGTGGATGAGGAGGGTGATTTCCGGTTTCTAGTCCCGCGCAGAGGAGGCAGGGCCACCTTCAGAGCAGTGTGTCCTTCCACTTCCGGTTAGTGCTCAGGTGTCTGGAGGACACAGGACATGTGTCATGGACACCATGTCCGGTGTGAGGCTCAGATTGACTCGACGTGACACTTCGATGCAGCACGTGCTGGTACACCTCGCTCCCACTGGATCCGAAGAGATGGCAGTTCTAATCCATCAGTGTTAATACCCAACCCGCAGTCCTGCTAAGTAGGAGGCGCCCTTGTTTGCACTGAAGGATGGGTTTAGCGGTATACAGTTCTATCACATAGCTAAGGAAAAGGTTTTCTGCAGCTCTTCTGTAAGTTGGAGATTTGAAACAACCGCTAAAGATCACGCTTTTTGCTTAAACTTCTCAGCTGTGTTTCATGGACAGGGACCTTCCCTTTGCTGTGTTGTCAGGTTTATAGTTCAAGGCCTTCTTTATCTTCCCACCTTGATCCTGACTGTTATAGTGAGTGACACCTTATATAGTAATAGTCCAGCACTCCCAGCCAAATCTGTTCTTGCAGGAAAGGCCTCGGTGTTACTTGTTTTTGTATCTCTAGCCCCAGCAAAGATGGCATAATAAAGTGCCCATTAAATGACTCAAGTCCTCTGTATTTTTTGCTGGACTGCACTGGATAGAGCAAGAGAAACACAGTTGAAGAGATCATAAAAGGTGAAGGAAAGTGCTTCCCAGAGATACGATTTTTTTTTTTTTGAGTCAAGATCTTATGTAGTTCAGGCTGGCCTCGAACTCACTATGTAGCCCGAGGTTGGCTTCGAACTCTCATCAATCCTGCCTCAGCCTCCCGAGGGTTGGGATTACAGGCGTTCACCACCACATCCAGGGAGGTACGATTTCTTACATTTCTTAAACACCAAAGAGAAAATACCACCTGTCTAAGAGACATCGAACTTTTGTGTATGCAGGTGGAGTCAGGCTTGTCTGTGGATGCAAGACTCCTGCTAGAGATGCCTTGGGTACTGTCAGCCTTGGGGCAGCTACAGAGGTGGTAGAGGAGCCCTGAATGGGTACAGGGTATACACCTGGGCCTTGGGCCTCTGCATAGACCTCAGTCTGGGGGCCAGGTCCAGGAGGAAGGCTCAGCAAACCATTCATGTCAGGGTGGGCTTATGAGCAGGGAACTGTGAATTCTGGAGGTGGGGCCACCGACAAGGGGCCATCCAAAGATTTCAAATAGCAATGATAAAGGAAAGGCACTGTCTTCATTACACTCCGCTAAGACACAACACCCAACGCCCACAAGTTGAAGGCGAGGTTTACTTTGGGTCACAGTTTGTAGAGGTTTTAATCTATAGTTGGCTGGCTCCAAGGCAGGGCAGCATGGCAGAAGGACATGGAGAGAGGAGAGTCCATGGCAGGGCAGGGGAACCAGAGGGGTCCAAGGAGTCGGGAGATACATCATTCCATGCTACACCTGCAGTGACTGCCTCTTGTGAACAGGCTCCACTTCCCAACATCACATTTGGCTATAAACTCACCAGTGGACTAATCCCCCAACAAGTATAGTGCCTCCATGTTCCAATCACCTCCCAAAAGTGTCCCCCCATGAGAACATGAGGCTTTGGGGGGCATCTAAACATAAACCATTAACAGCCGCTCTGGGAAAATGAGGTTGGGGAGTTTACTGGAACCAGGGAGACCAATCTAAGCAATAATGTCAACCAGGTGCTTTGTAAACCATAACCAAGAATAGTTAAGAATTTGCTGGTCTCTGCTGGAAGTTGTAAAGGTATACTTTTATACAAGCTACCCCTTTTGCACCTTTCAGGAGCAAGTTTTGGAACTTATTGACACGACTAATAGGTTGAAGTAAACCAAAGGAATCTTGGATGTATATTGGAGAATGTTTTTTGTTTGTTTTGGGTACCAGGGATCGAACTCTGGACCTTGCACTTGGTGGGCAGTCGAGGCACCACTGAGCTAAATCCCTGGTCCCTTTTGTTTGTTTTTTGAGACGGGGTCTCACTAAGTAGTCCAGATTGGCCCTGAAATCCTGGCCAGGAATTGAATCTTTTGACTCAGCCTCCCGAGTGCTGGGAGTACAGATGTGTGCCAGCATGCCTGGCAATGCTCTTAGTTTTTATAGCTGATAGAAGACAGGACCTACCAGACTTCTAAAGCTGGACGAACCACCGGTGCTCACAAGCAGGGAATGCAGCCTAAGGCTGCTTCTTTCCTGACTTCTGCACTGGAGCAGGGGTGGAGTGAGTGGGGGTGGGGCACAGCTGGCCGCTGGGAAACTGAAAGCTGACGATGGGTCAGTGGAGCACTCTGCACACTTATTTCTGAAGGAGCCAGATCATATTTCAGGCTTTGTGGGCCATCTGGCCTCTGTTGCACCAACTCAATTGTGCCTACATGGGACCCAAGCAGCCATGGACAAGATATAAATGAGCATAGCTTTGTTCTAATGAAGCTTTACGGTTATATAAAGAAGATTGCTATAATTTTCATGTGTCACAAAGTATCCTTTCTTCCTTTGATTTTTCTGATGGTTAAAAACAATATAAATTCTGTTCTTACCCAGTGCAGTGGTGCACACCTGTAATCCCAGCACTCAGGAAGCTGAGGCAGCTGGATTTCAGAGTTCGAGGCCAGCCTAGGCTACATAATGACTTAAAGGCCAGACTAAACTACAGATGACTTTGTCTTAAAAATAAATAAATAAGAGTATGTAAAGGTGCATATCTCCAATGATGAATGTCATTATACTGTACACCTAAAATGTACCAATAAAAGGATATAAAAAATAAAAAAATAAAAAAAAATTTTAAAACCCTGTTCTTGGCTCACAAGTCCAAACAAACAAACAAACAAAACCAGCAAGAAGGCTGGGTTTGGTCTGCAGGCCGGTATGAAGACTCAATGATTAGAGGCAGACACCTCAGCTCACTAGCTGTATACCTCTGGTCAAATTGCCTTAGTTTTGCATCCCTCAGGGTCCGTGCAAGACTGGCCTGTGCTTAAAGCCAATGGACACGTTCAAGAGCTTGGTAAGCAGGACAGAGATATGAGGTGTGATCGAAAAACACGGTGAAAAAAAGAAACACACATGGTGAATGCTTACATTTAAAAAAATTATTTCAAGACAAACTACCATGAACCTCCTCAAAATACACTCCTTGCTTCAAATATACTCATCTCATCCTTGCCACTTCCTGAAGCAGCTCTGGAAGTCCTCATTCTTGAGGGTCTCTGGTTGTGCTGTCATAACTGCTTTGATGTCCTGAGTCGGTTCAAAACGTTGTCCTTTCATGGTCATTTTGACTTTGGGGAAGAGCCAGAAGTAGCAGGGTGCCAGATCTGGTGAACAAGGTGGATGAGGACACAGCGTAATGTTTTGAGGAGCCCGCCTTTTGCAGCACTCTGCATTTCTGGGCTCCTGTACACACCTACCCGTCCGCAGCCGGAGGCCCAACCTCTGCCAGTTCCGGCCCTCAGCGGTGCGCTTGCGCGGCCGAGGCCGGCCGAGGCCAGCCGCTCCCGGAGCAAGCGTTGGCGTCACGTGACCGCCAAGGGTGTTCCTGTCGCCCTGGCGACGGCCTCCCCGCTGCTCGCCTTAGCTGTCCGGGCCAGGCCTTCATCGCGAGATACACCGGGTCCAGGAGCCCTGGCCATGGCCACCTCCGCAGGCATGTCCTTGTCTGCAGGCCTATCCTCTCCCGGGGTCGACGAGGTGCCTGAGACTGAGAAGAACTCAGGAGACCCGGAGAACACCTATATCCTGAGGCCCATTTTCCAGCAAAGGCGGGTACAGGACGGGGTGTGGTACTGGAGTGCGGGGTTGGGCTAGCGCAGTTCTTTTGGGAGCCTGAGTGCCAAAAAGAAGCTCGGGGCCGGCGGGGCGGGCCGGGAGCTGCGGAGTTCCGACGCTGTGACTCTGCTTCGGCGCCAGGGGGCAGCAGAGGACCTCATCAACGGTGCTGCGTTAGGTCCTGACAGAGCCTTAGGCGGCCTCTGCGGGAGTGGTTGACTGGGAAACCCAGGAAGAGTGTCCATGGGAAAGAAGGGGTAGGATAGAGTTTCCAGGGGTACCGTGTGCACACTTATGTCAGAATGCGCCTGCTCCTGGCCCCGGACCTGGTTGCACACGTCTGTGATCCCTGCACTCCAGGAGGCTGAGGCAGGAGGATTGCAAGTTTGAGCCCTCCTGGGCAGTTTAGCGAGAACTTTCTAAAAAATTAAAAGGGCTGAGGTGTAGCTCAGTAGTAGAGCACCACAGGGTTCACACCCCAGTGGGAGTTCGGCTATCTTGGTAAAAGGTTTTAGATGCAGAGGGTGCCACAGCGCCACGTTTCTGCTATGAAACCGTGCAGTACAAGATGGACAACAAATAGGCGTATGTAGGAATGCTCTTGGGATTTTTTTTTTTTTTTTTTTTTTTGAGACAGGGCTTGCTTTGTAGTTCAGGCTGGCCCTGAACTCACTATATAGCCCAGGCTGGCCTCAAACTCCTGGCGATGCTCTTGCCTCAGCCTCTCGAGTGCTGGGATTGCAGGTGTGCCTCTGTGATCTTATGTATGAGTTGTGTGAAGAAAACCTCAGCATTTTAGTGATAATTTTAAAAGCTTAAGGAAAAATCCACATGTTTATTAATACAAAGGTCACATTTTGAACTGATCCAATCCTGGATTTTTTAATTTTTAAAAATATTTTTATTTATTTTTGGTACTGGGGATCGAACTCTGGTCCTCGCATTTGTGCAGCAGGCAGCGAAACCACTGAGCTAAATCCCCGGGGGGTTATTTATTTATTTATTTATTTGGTACCGGGGATCAAACTCGGGTCCTTACACTTGCGAAGCAGGCGACAGAACCACTGAGCTAAATCCCCGGCCATATTTTTAAATTTAATTTGGTGCTGGGGACTAAACTCAGGGTCTCGCACATCCCCAACCCCTAAATCTTGAAAAATTCAGGATAATTCTAAAGTTTATATCTGAGGCTGAGCAGCCAAAAAAGTAAAGAAACTACTGTTGAAAAGTAATGGGAGAGGTCCGGGGATTTAGGTCAGTGGTTCCGCTGCCTGGCTCACAAGCACAAAGTCTGGAGTTTGAACCCTGCTACCCCTCCCCCACAAAAGTAATGGGAGAGCTATGATCCCAGCACTCAGCATGTTGAGGCAGGAGGAGCACTAGGAGTTCAAGGCCTCCTGGAACAGTCTCCTGGGTGCTGGGTTTACAGGTGTGTGCCACCCACCCAACGACTGGGGTATTTTCTTTTCTTTTTTTGTTTTTTGGTACCAGCGATCGAATTTGGGTCCTTGTGCTTTTGGGGCAGGTGGCAGAACCACTGAGCTAAATCCTCGGCCTGGGAAGTTTGTTTTTTTAATAGCAAAACATTTGTTGGTACATTTTAGGCATACATAATAATAACACTTATCATAGGGAATTTGCACCTGTACATGATACATCCGCCTCTTTTTTCCCATGCTTTTCCTCCCCTCAAGCCCCTTCCCCTCCCTATGTACAAAAGCTTTGTTTCCATTTTTTCCTTCTATTTTTCCTCTTTCCTTATTCCCTCCTTCCTTCCTTCCTCCCTCCCCTCCTTGTTCCCCTTCTCATTTGAACATTTTCTTTCCATTTCCCAATACCTATTATACATTTTGGTCCGCATTTACACTTTTGGTTTCTCACACCAGAGAAACAAGGTGGCATTTACACATGTGTGTCTGATTTATTTCACTGAAGTGTATGGTCTCAAGGTCCATCCATTTAGCTAGAAATGTCTGAAGCTCATCCTTCTTTATGGCAGAGTAGTACACCATTGTATAAAAAACCACATCTTCTTTATCCATTCGTCAGTTGATGGGTATTTGGACTGTTTCCAAGCTTTAGCTATTAAAAATTGTGCCGCTATAAACATGGGTGTGCATGTATCACTGTGGTATGATGCTTTTAATTCTTTCAGGGACATACCCAGAAGTGAATAGCGGGTTCAAATGGGACCTCTAATCCTAGGTTTTTGAGGAACCTCCACACTGATTTCCACGGTGGTTGCACCAGTCTGCACTCCCACCAACAATGGAGAAGGCTTCCTTTTTCCCACAGCCCCGCCAGCATTTGTTATTGGTTGATTTCTTGATAGCAGCCATTCTTTCTGGAGTGAGGTGGGATCTCAGCGTTGTTTTAATTTGCATCTCTCGAGTGACCAGTGATGAACATTTTCTCCTGTATTTCTTTGGCCTGGGTATTTTAAACAGAGGGAGCGACGCCCCAGGAGTGGGGACAGGACGCTGGGCTGGTTGCTACGTGAGAGCTGGGTGGAGGGAGGGCACGGGCTGACCCAGACCTGTTCGCAGGCCGGGGGTCCAGGAAGAGCTCGGGGAAACACAGGTAGTGATGGGGAAGAGGGATTGAATTGGAGAGTATTTTGAAGGCAGAACAGAAGGTTGCTCACCAACAAGACTGACCCCAAGGGTTTTGCTGGCACTGAGGTCAGAGCGGAGTCGCATCCCGGGCGATTCCGGGCCTTGGAGAAGGGCAGCATGCGGCTCCCTGGGGAGCGCGTTCACTGCACACGTACCCGGTCCCACGTCCTCGTGAACACGCGCGGGGCCGAAGTTAAGGCGTGGTCCTGGCTGTAAGCACAACTTTGGATGTGACTTGTCCTTTAATTTGTTACTTTTTGTTGTTGTACTTGTACTAGGATTTGAACCCAGAGCCTTCACAGTGGCTACATCCCCAGCCCTTTTTATTCTTATTTTTAAAGTTTTGAGACAGGGTTTTGCACAGTTGCCCGGGAGGGTTTGGGATCACAGGTGTGCGCCATCAGCCGTGCTGTTTATATTACTTTTATAAGGAAAAACAAGAAAAAGAAGGACTAAACAGGCACTGATGAAAAAGTTGCAGAAAGTTGGGGTGGGAAGGTAAGTAAGGGTTTTTGAGTTACCGGTGAGACGTTCTTGAATTCTCTCCTAGGTTCAGGCCCTCTGTGGTGAAAGACTGCATCCACGCAGTGCTCAAGGCCGAGCTGGCCAGCACCGAGTACTCGGCAGAAGAAACGCCCCAGCTCACCAGGCGCCTATCAGAAAACATCAAAGATAAGTTAAAAGGTAACTGTGGCAGTGACTGCAAGGGACTTACTCCCGGCACACACGCAGCTCTGCCCACTTCCACTTCTTGTCTTTAAATAAGTGATGCAAGCTGTGGATTTCGTTAAAGACCAACTTCTCTTTAATGTCTATCTGCTGTGGTTCCCTGGTGACTTTTACAGGTTTTTGCAGATGGCATGAAGGAGTAAAGATGTGAGCGAAATAGACCCTTCTAGGAAGATACTGTGCAAGAAATTGTGTATGCAAGCCGGGCCTGGTGGCGCACACTTGTGACCCTAGTACTGAGGCTGAGGCTGAGGCTGAGGCACTTGTCGCAGAGTAGGGGAAAGCAGGGGTTGGGCGCTGAGAGAACATTCTAGGTGCTTGGTCTATTCCACAACTCATCTCACCTGGCCTTGCAGCAGGCCTGGGCGTAGGTGATGATATCCCCATTTAACCAGAGTGGGAAACTTAAACTCAAAAGTTAAGTAGGTTCTCCATGGTTGTACTTTTGGTTAAGTTTACAGTTAGGCTCCGTCTTCAGCTCTCTGATTCCCAAGCTTGCTATCATACGCATGAAGTCCCTATGGGCCAGTGTGATCAAAATGTATGGCAAATGTTTAAGAAAATTTATTACAGTAAAAGACACATTGCTATGAGTCCTCCACAAAATCCAGCCCCTCGATTCAAACACACTTATCCCCATGTCCTTGCCACTTTCTGAAGCAGGTGTAATAAGAAATACAGTGAATACTGCTGCTGCGTGCCATCCAACAGAAAGGCAGGCTCATTAAATCAATATACTGCGTCCTCATCCACCTTATTCACTGGATCTGGCACGGTGTAACTTCTGGCTCTTCCCCAAAGTCAAAATAACCTTGAAAGGTAAACATTTTGAATCAGTGGCAGCCATGACAGTGCAAATAAAGACCTTCATGAAAGAGAACGTCCAGAACTGCTACAGAAAGTGGCAAGGATGAGGGGATAATTGTATTTGAAGTGAAGAGTATTTTGAGAGGGATTTATGGCAGATATGTCTTTTACTGTAATCAATTTAAAAAAATTTAGGCCAGGCGTGGTGGCTCACACCTGTAATCCCAGCCCAGGCTGAGGCAGGAGGATCACTGTGAGTTGGAGGCCAGCCCGGGCTACATAGTGAGTTCAGGGCCAACCTGAACTACAAAGAAAAACCCTGTCTCAAAAAAAGCCAAAAAAAAAAAATTAAACATTTACTGTAGTTTTTTTAATTGCACCTTGTAAGTCTATTCTAGACAAATTTGCTTTCAATAAGTAATTTTGCTACATATTTACTTATAGAAAACTATCTTGTTTTTCTTTCTAGAGATGGGATTTGACCGATACAAAATGGTGGTGCAAGTAGTGATTGGAGAGCAAAGAGGCGAAGGAGTTTTGTGAGTAACTGGTTGCTCCTTCTTGTTATTATTCATCTGTCTTCTGTGAGGTATTTGTGTTTTTGACAACTCAGATTGTGTCTTTGCAAGAGTGAGCAGGAGGTGGGGCTGGGGATTTAGCTCAGTGGTTCCGGCACCTGCCTAGCAAGCACAAGGACCCGAGTTTGATCCCTGGTACCAAAAAAAAAAAAAAAAAGAGTGAGCAGGAGGAATAGCTGAACAAGATGCAGCTGTGAACTGAGGAGCTCTTGTACTGAAAGACAAAGCCGGCAGCGGGGTTGAGCTTCCTGGAGTAGCTCTTTCTTCATATCTCCAGCAGGGCAATAAGTCCTTAGGACCTGGGTGGATATGGTTTTTTTCTTTTTTTACATTTGTTTGGTGCTTTTTGAGACAGGGTCTTGCTAGGTAGTCCAGGCTGGCCTTGAACTTGCACTTGCCAAGATCCTCCTGCCTCAGCCTCCCGAGGGCTGGGATTATAAGTGTGCCACACCCTGCCTGGCTCACATATGTTTCTGTATAGTATAGGATTACATACTGAATGTCTTCTCACAGTCCTCGGTGCCCAGGTTTTGGTTATCACTCTCCTAAATTAGCATCTTTAAAATTGAGACCTCTCTATTAGCAAATCTAACAGCTCTTTCTTAGCTCTTGTTCTTGGCCTTGGCTTCTCTTTCTTAAAACTCCTTCTGGTGTTTTGGCCTTGAATTCAGCTAACTTTATTTTCTAGCTGCTTATTTCCTTTCCTAATCTGTATTTTTGCTGTCTCATTTCCCCCTCTTGCCATTTATCTGGTAAGGAAATTGGGTTGCCGGGCCTGGGAGTTTCCTGTATTCTGGCATCTGCTGATTGTATCCCTCTGGTATTGTTGGCTGCAGCTTCTGTTGCCTGTGTTTCCTATAAAGAAACACTTTGTTCTAGAACGTTTTCTTGGCAGTGCTGGGCAGTCCCTGAGGGCCTCCTGCATGCCAGGCAAGGGTCCACTACAGTGCTTGGGCAAGGACTCAGGATTGCGTTGGGCCTTCTGGATCATCGGTCCGTGAGTCCTCTCATCTCAGAATCTTTTACTCAGATTTTGAGGCTCCAAGATCCGAAGCCTCCGTTTTGCCACCTTCATAGGTTCTGGGGACGAGGACACAGACATGCATTTGGGGGTGATTGTGCCTACCGCACTTAGCTTCCGAGGTCTCTGCCTACACAACCTCAGAATGCAGCACATCGTGAAGACAGTGACAGGCCGAGGTCTACTCTGTCCCTCTCTGCAGGGATGTTGGTCCCTCCAGACTCCACTTTATCTCCCAGCCTGTGATGGTGCAGCCATCTGCTGGTTTCCTTTCCCCTCTGTAATTTGGCCCACTGTGGGGACAAAGCTAAGATTCTTAGCCTTTTTCCCTCTGCCCAGAGTTGCCCTCAGCCTGGGGAGTGTCTGCTCTGGAACTTACTCTCTCTGGGGGCTCCCCTCGTTCTGGAGTTCAGGCCCCCCAGCCAGTCTGCTTCAGCAGCTCTCAAACATTTTATCCTGATTTTCTAGTTGATCTCAGCGGGAGCATCGTCTGCTCTGATCTGCCCTGTGATGCGTCTTCTAAGTCCCGTGACCTAGCTGTCGCATGTGTGTGTGTAGGCAGTGTGTGCTCACAGGTGCACATTCACATGGCACTGCTTTTGGTGTGCCCAGGCCTCCAGTGCACCCCACGGTCCAGGTTTATCTGTGTGTCTCCAGCCCTACACCTAGAACTGGCCATTTCTTGGAGGAGCTTGGTTCCTTTGATTGGGAAACTGTGCTAGACCACAATTTGAAGGCAAAGATTGTGTTTTATGCATTTTTTTGCAATATTGTTTGTTAAATAAATTTTTATATTCACACCCTTGCTCAGTTCTACTTACTTTAGTTTCCGCTGCCTTCCTTCATAGAGCCTTCTTTGGCTTTTTTGGTCTTTTTTTTTTTTTTTAAGCATTCTTTTTTTGTTTGTTTGTTTTTGTTTTTGTTTTTGTTTTTTTTGGTACTGGGGATCGAACTCGGGACCTGGCAGGCGCCGGAACCACTGAGCTAAATCCCCGGCCCATTTTTTTTTTTTTTGGTACCAGGGATCGAACTCAAGATCCTTGTGCTTGCAAAGCAGGCGCCGGAACCACTGAGCTAAATCCCTGGCCCTGTTTTGGTTTTTAAGACAAGGTTCTGCTTTGTAGCCTAGGTTGGGCTTGAACTCATGGCAATCCTCCTGCCTCAGCTTCCCGAGGGCTGGGATGACAAGCGTGTGCCACCATGCCCGGCTATGCTATTATTATTAACGCCAGGCTTCTTTGGCTTTTTTTCTCTCTAAATTCTCTAAACTTTTGTAGCCTTGCAAATTTCAAATATTGCATAAGTTGGAGCCCTACATTTGATAGACCTTACTGTCTCTTAATCCTAATAAATTATAAATGAGCACGAAGTATGCATTATCTTACTGTTGGAGTGCATTCATTTTTTCACCTAATTAAATTGGGAATTGAGGCAGGAGCCAGATCATCATCTCCCTGGGCAAATGGGAGCTTGGGGGGCAGGTGGTAGGGTTTGAACCAGGGCCTGGTGCATGCCAGGTAAGCACTTTAGCACTGAGTACACTTGAAAAGTACTTTTTTGATTGGCCAGTTAAATAGGTTTAATTTTATATTGTTAGTGCTGCCATTGGGAAATAGATGGAACTTTTTTGAATTAGGGATATGTGAAGTTGGGTTTGGTGGCACATGTCTGTGTAGTCCCACCTATTTTGGAGGCTGAGGCAGGCAGATTGCTTGAGCCTAGGAGTTTAGGGCCAGCCTGGCAACAATGCAAGATCCTGTCTCTTAAAGAAAGAAGAGAGAGATGCTGTATATATATGTTTCTCTGGAGGCTTGGGTTCTGCACTGTCTGGGTTCAAAGCCAGTTTTGTCACTTATTATATGACCTTGGACACTGAGGCTTGTTTTCATGCATTCACTGAGTGGGTGTGACAACAGGCCGCCCCTCAAGGGACTGAGTTGATACAGGAGAGCAGTGGCTGCTGATGGGCACAGACCGAGCAAATGTTAATGATGGTGAATAGTATGTGCGGATTAGGAAGAAGTAAAACATCTGTAATTACCTTTTGAAATGCCATAATTTCATTTACCAATCCAACATAATTGGGTATTCTTTTGTTTTTTACTGGCTTTTATTTTTGACTAATATTTTTTTTTCCTTACCCAAGATGTGGAGAGAATAGAATTACCAATTTGAGAATGTAAAAGGAACATAGAAGTGCACACCTGTAATCCCAGTACTGGCTGAGGCAGGAGGATCCCTGGGAGTTCAAGGCCAGCCTGAACTACATAGTGAGACCTATATTGGGGAAAAAACAAAAAAGAGCATGGTGTCCTGTAGAGGTACAGCAATACTGGAGTTAGAAGTCTGGATTCTAGTTCAGAGTTTGCCCTTTTCTTTTCTGGGGCTCTATAAAATGACAGGTTGGGCCCTGTGAACATTTTCCTTCTATTATGATGCAGGAATTGAGCCCACTGAAAGGTACACACAAGGTATGATAATGATATACAGTGAATGTTTAAAATTTAAAAATTTATTATAGTAAAAGATACATTGCTGTTAGTCCCCCTGAAAATATTCCCCCTCACTTCAAGCACATTTATTCCATTGTTCTTGGCACTTTCTGAAGTCCTCTTTCCTGAGTCTTTATGAGGTGTGATCAAAAATACAGAGAATGCTGTTGCTGAGTTCCATTCAGTGGATAGGTAGGCTTGTAAAAGCATCGGTGTGCCCTCACCCACAGAATTCACCAGATCTGGCACCCTGCGACTTCTGGCTCTTCCCCAAAGTCAAAATGATCATGAAAGATAAACATTTCCAATGGATTCAGGACATCAAGGCAGCCAAGACAGTGCAACTGAAGACACTCAGGAAAGACCACTTCGGAACCGTTTCAGACAGTGGTGAGAACAATGGGATGAGTGTGTTCCAAGGGAGAGGGAGTTTTTTGAGGGGGATTCATGGCAATGTGTCTTTTACTGTACTAAATTCTTTAAAAAATCTAAAAACAGTCACTATATTTTTAGATCACACCTGGTATCTTAGCTGAAGGTATCTATCATAGAGCCCTGCCCAGAGTAGCAGACTCAGAGATGTGGGCTCCTGGTCCTCGGGCAGCCAGTCAGGGTCTGAGGCTTGTCACCTCTGGCCTGTGACTCCTGTCCATCCAGGCTACCAGCATACTCTGTTGTGCAAACAGGGTTTCCTCTGGGTGCCAGCCTGACCTGTGAAGCATTTGGAAGCACTGATCTATGAAGTGCACGAAGGCAAACCTTTGCTTCGGCAGATACCTGTATTCAGATCCTTGCAATAGTGCTGACAGTTGTTATTCCTGTGGCTCTCTAGCATGGCAGCTCGATGCTTCTGGGATGCGGACACTGACAACTACACTCATGATGTTTTCATGAACGTAAGTCTACCTGGAAACCTTTCCTCTGCAGGGACTCTCAGGCATCACAAATTAAGTTATTCAATGTTTACTAAGATGGGAGGACACTCTAGATTTAGACATTTGTCTTAGACTTCTTGATGATGTAGTTTTACTGTTATTTTTTGTGTTACTAAAGCAGACACCTAGTGTTCTCCTTATAGCAAGGAGACTGCATACAGATGACATAACCCTTTACAGGTTTGAATTTTGGCAGAGCCTATTATTTACTTGGCATATTATTATTAAAATTATTTTTAAGCCACACATGGTGGTGTAATCCCAGCACTCAGGAGGCTGAGACAGGAGGATTGCTGTGAGTGTGACGCTAGCCTGGGCTGCATAGTGAGACCCTCTCTCTCTAAAAAAGAAGAAAAAAGATATAATATAGATGCCAGGTGCCTCATCAAATAAGCTAGAGGTTGGATCGGTGAGTGTGAATTTAAAAAAATTTCCCCAATAGGGTGGTGCACATCTGTAATCCCAGTACTCAGAAGGCTGAGGCAGGAGGATCTCCAGGAGTTTGAGGCCAGCCTGGACTGCACAGTGAGTTCAAGAACAGCCTGAACTACTACATAGCCAGAACCTGTTTCAAAAAACCAAAAATAAAGAAAGAAGTTTCCCCAAATGATTTTGTTGATTTACGAAAGTGTCAGTCCGTGAAGGACTAACAGTTACACAGAAGCAGGTCCTTTACCACAGGCAGAAACACAGGAGCTGGGCTGACTGAGGAACTTTGCCTCCAGTTAATAAGCAGGCGTCTGCATCCCCATTGCTCCTCCCCTGGCAGTGCCAGGCAGGAGGAAAGGTTGTGGTGTCAGGCGCTGCCCAGGCAGGCAAGGCTCCTGTCATAAGGACCTACAGTATTTGAACAAGCTCACTGGGGCTCTGGAAAGCACTCTGAGACTCTGAGCTAAAAGATGGACCAATCAATTTTACCAAGAAGAAACACCCAGAAACCATTGCCTTTATCCAGCATTTATGACAAAGTGCTATTATTCTTATTATCAGTGATAATAGTATACTATAATTTTTTTTTCTTTTGGATTTTTTTGAGACAGGGTCTAGCTATACAGTTCAGGCTGGCCTTCAACTTACTCCGTAGCCCAGGCTGGCCTTGAACTCACTTCAATACTCCTGCCTCAGCCTCCCAAGTGCTGGGATTACAGGCGTGTGCCACCACACCCAACTATACTATAGTTTGTTGAGTTGGGTAAGGCGTTTACTCTTTGTTTTTTTGGTACCATTGGGTCCTTGCACAGGCAGCAGAACCACTGAGCTAAATCCCCAGCCCTAGGCATTTACTCTTAAGAACCTCAAAGTGCCTGGGATTTAGCTCAGTGATTCCACCACCTGCCTTGAAAGTACAAGGTCCTGAGTTTGATCCCTAGTACAAAAAAAACCCAAAACACCAAGAAACATTTGTGTACTCTTTGGGCTGGGGATTTAGCTCAGTAGTTCTGGCGCCTGCCTTGAAAGCCAAGGTCCTGAGTTTGATCCCTGGTACCAAAAACAAAATAAACAAAAATAAATTTAAAAAACCAAAAAAACCTCAAAGTACTTAATAATTTCTGAGAAATCAGGAAAAACAGGAATAATTATTTGATGAATATGCATTACCTAAAATTTATTAGCTCACATATATTCATTCAGAAAATCTAATGTTTTTTTTCTTGGTGTTGGGGATTGAACTTGCACTTGCAGGGCAGGTGGTGGGACCACTGAGCTAAATCCCCGGCCCCTACTCGGCCTTTTTTTTTTAGTACTGGGGATTGAACCCAGCATCTTTACATTGAGCTACATCCCCAGCCCTTTTTTTGTGTGTGATACTGGGGATGGAACTCAGGACCTTGCACTTGGCAGGCAGGTGTGGCACCACTGAGTCACATCCCCGGCCGGCCCAAGCCCTTTTTTATTTTGAAACAGGATCTCATAAGCTGCAGAGTTGCCCAGACAGGGCTGCAACTTGCAGTTCTGCTTCAGCCTCCCCAGAGTCCTGGGATAGGAATGCAGCACCAGGCTTGGCTCCCAGCCTTGTCAGGGAGCAATTTTGTAGTTACCCACAGGCAAGCAACTTTCTAGCTGTACTTTGGAAACCAGGAAACCCTTTATGTCTTGACGGAAGAAAGACGTCTTCCTGACTGGAAATTGCCTAGGATCTAGGATGGTTCACTTGCCTGTGCTGTCCTCATTCCCTCATTAGTACTAACATTCTGGATTTCTCCTTGTCTTTCCTGTCTTGTTTGTTCTTTAGGACAGTTTATTCTGTGTGGTAGCAGCATTTGGCTGTTTCTACTATTGAATCTTTGAAAACCTGGGAAAAGATGTGACCATGAAGAAATCTGAACTTTTTAAAACTGTTTAATATCTTGATGAAATAAAAATGTGTTGGCAGTTTAGCAACTGAATCTGTTGTTTTAGGCTTTATATTTTTAGTGTTTTGAGTCTGTTACAGTAGTATATTTGGAAAGTAGAGGGAAAAGTTGGGGACACTCCATTTCAATTTTCAAGCATAACCAACAAAATATTTTGGTAAATTTCTTATCAGTTCATTTGCAGGGTTTAAAATGATACATACAGCATTGTACACTGATTTTTTTCTACTTGTTATAATGTAACAAGTTATGTCATTTTATGTGCATTAGGACTTTCAGAAGCATCACTTCCATTGCTGCATTTGTTCCAGGTCCACCACTGTCGCTACTGCCATTTCCTTACGGAGGGACTATTTTCTAGTCTTTCAGTATTCCCAAAATACAGATGAATCTCTTTGTACATAAAGCTTTCTCTCTCTCCTCTGCCCTTGTCACCTATGACTTACACACTTATGAGTTTAAACACACATCCATTTCTCTGGGGTTTGTCCAAGTGTCACGTCTGAGAAATTCCAAGCTGTGTATGAAATCAGGTTCCCTTGGACTCTCCATTACCCCTTTGTTGGTTGCTCTCCAAACCCCTACCTTGTGGTGATGTCCCTAGAGGACCTGGTGCTTTCTCCAGTTGGCTGTCCTTTTTTGGGGCACTTCATCAGCCAGGTTTGAATACCCATTTGAAACTTAAAAGGGAAAGGGTAAGATTTAATTCTTTTTTCTTCCTGGGGGCCCTCAGCAGATGCACAAGTTTAGCCACTCTTTTTTTCCAGCCACATTCTAGTCAACTGTGTAGACCTAAATAAATCAATAAGTAAGAATTTAAAAACAGTGAATACATTGAAAAGTTCTACATCTTTTATAACTTGCTATACTCACTTTCCTTACATGTACAGAATCAAAAGGAGCCCTCCAGAGGTTCATTTTGGCAGAGGAAGTTTCTCCTCCCCTTACACCCTGCTGCCTGTGTTTTCCTACCAGTGCCCTCCTTCTCAGTTCTTGTGGGTCATTTTTTGTTGAGCAGACCTGGATCAAAGATAACAGGATGAAGCCAGGCCGCGAGGCGCACCCTGTAAACCTCGCTATGAGAGGCAGAAGGATTCCAAGTTCCAGGTCAGCCTGGACAATTCAGAGAGAACCTTCTCAAAATAAAAATAATTTTTAAAAGGCCAAGGATATACCTTAGAGCGTTTGCCTGGAATGCTTGAGGCCTTGGGTTCAATCCCCAGTAACACATACACCACGCACACACGCCTGTGACCTCAGCATTCAGGGAGGGTGAGGCAGGAGGATCCCAAGTTCCAGCCCTGCGTGGGCAATTTGGCGACTTAGCGAGAAACTGCCTCAAAAAAATAAATCAATGAAAAGGGGCTGAAGACGTAGCTCAGTGCGAAGGCCCTAGGTTCAATCCCCAATACCGAGGAGAGGTAGGGAGAAGAAAGAGGTCAGGCACAGAGTTTCACCGGACTTGGTGAACTCTCCTTCCATAGCCAAGGAGGTAAAGTCGCGGTTTGACAAACTGTAGCGAGAACGCTGGCGGTTCACGTCCATAACCCGCGAGGAGGAAGCGTCTTTATCGCCAGCTGCGGCTCCCGGGGTAGACCGACCCTTCGCCGTCCACCGCAGGTCTACGGTTTCCGCTGGGTCCCTCCACAGCCTCCTCCGGCCTCTGGGGAAACGGAACTACTGCGAGGCGAACTGTGGTTTCCGGGGAACGGTCGCTGTCGGATTGACAGGAGGGCGGGCCGTGGGCGGAACTTCCGGCGCTGTTCAGTCAGCCGCCTTCTCCGGGCGTCTCCCCGCAACCCTTCTCAACTTGTCTCGTCCGTGACGCCGCGCCGGGAAGAGATCTGAGGGGACAGGACTCGAGGAGCGTGAGCTGCTGGTGAGGACACAGTGTGTGCATATGCTCGTGGCCCTGTTGGAGGGGAGGAACCACGGGGCCAGGGCCTCGAGGTGACAGCGAGGGGAGCGTGAAGCGCAGGCTAAAAGGCTGCTGTGACCTAGGGACAGTGACAGCGAGGGGACTGTGACCCAGGGGTAGCTGCTCCCGAGGAGTCTGTGACCCAGGAGCGGGGAGCGCGGAGAACTTGGACCCCGGGGAGCACAAAGCAGAGGCTGCAATGGGACCATGCCCGAGGCAGTGCATTTAAGGGGACCATGATCACTGGGCAGTGACTCGAAGGATGGAGCTGTAAGAGGATTTTGACTGAAGGGAACACGGGACAGCTCCTGCGAGGGAACGCGGACCGAACGGGGCTGGCGTGGAGGAGAGCGTGAAATCAGTAACAGGGTGTTGCTGGGGGCTTAGTGCGTGGAACGTGGGGCCAGTGGCCGTGAGCGGGCAGCGAAAGTGCTTTGTGGACTTAGCAGGCAGACCCGAGTTTAAACTCTGTGCATGACTTCCATAGGCTGGGACACTTAACCTCCCCAACCGAGTTAGTTTCACCAGAATGGGAAGTTTGGATTAGCATCTCCCAGACTGTAGCCTATTACTGCGTTGTGAGATCAGTTTCATGGATGGCGCCTGAAGGGTTTTTTAAAAAAATAGAAATGGAATAGGATAGAAAATTTCAGTGTGTTCACATCAGGATATTGTTTCATGAAATGTGTTTCAGTTGTGTGTATGAGGTTATGATGTAAAATGGATTTTTTACATCCTAAAATGTATGAAGTTAAACGTAGTTTTTTTAAAACACACACACAAAAAACCCAAGGCCTGAAAAACATTTGATCAGATTATTTCTGAGGGATTTTTTTCCCACAGATAAAATGTAATGATTCTATGGTTTGGAAGTACAAAGAAGCAACTGGGAAAATGAGATCTATGCCTGGGGCATAGATCTGAGTTGGGAGAGACAGAAGTTGTATTGAAATAGGGACAGTGACATTTATTGATGGAGTAGGGATTTAGGAGTTGCATTAGGAGAAAATTGTAGGAATAGACATTGAGGAGGGGGAAACTGATGTTAGGAACAAGGCTTGGGAAGGGAATTGAAGATAGAAACAAAACATTCTGCCAAGAATAAAATGGAGTAGGGAAACATGACCTTCAGATTCGGTTGAGTCTTGATTATGCAAGTATATAGAATTGCTTGTAAAAAGATACAGGGGGGCCCACGGATTTAGCTCAGTGGTTCCGCTGCCTGCCTCAAATCCACAAGGTCCTAAATTCGATCCCCGAGTACCAAAGGAAAAAAAAAGATACAGGGAATGCGATTTGTGGAGTAACAGTGGTAAACAGATAATGACCATCCATCATGGGGAAGAAAGGGGAGATAGAGGTGATGCTGGGGGTGTAAGCAGTGGTGACTGGAGAGACACATGGGAGAGGCTTTCATATATTTGGCTACCTAGCTTGTGACTTGTGCACTGGAGGCTAAGCCTGACACAATAGGAATGGTTCTACACTGTAGGTAATTCAAATGAAGTTTAGCTGCTGATTTTATTTCCTACTTCCCTTTCCTGAAGGTTGTTAGTGATGCAGTTGAAATTAACTAAATACAGTGTGTTACAGCCCAGCTGGGTGGAGGCCTGTAATCCCAGCCCTCTAGGAGGCTGAAGTAGGAGGATCAAAAGTTCAAACCCATGCTGGGCATGGTGGCACACACCTGTAATCTGAGCTCTTGGGAGGCTGAGGAAGGAGAATCATCCCCATCCCCCATATCCCCCCCCC